ATAGCGAAGTTATAGCAATATAAACTTTAATCTCATTAAAAGAATCTATAAACAAAACCTTTATTTGTTTCGCAACTTTGCTCACGGCTACACGTGTGTTATCTACGCAAGCCGCCCCTTGTTTTGAACTCGTAGAAAAAAAATGGAGCTAGTGAACAGTAGCCACCACACACTCTTAGGCTGTTCTAATTGAATAGTGTGATTTGACCATCATTCTTATATTGTACCCACGGCCCTAAAGTGCGGAGTGTGATTTGGTGGCAACGGAATATGAACCATGAACCCTCAGATTCACAGTCTGGCACACTAATCCTTAGACAATGTCCAAGCCATAAATGTCTGTCCCTTATGTTGACTACAGGCCTGTGATCAAGGCACGGCTTCACGCTAGTTGGCCAGTTTGGCAGTCGATTTGGAGCGAGCAACTTCATAACAAGCTTTTCCAAATTAAGCATACTGTTGTTGTTTGGCCGTCTAGTTTCCATAAGGATCGGCAGGAGGAAGATATCTCGTCTCGTCTACGCATTAGCCACAGTTTCGTGACTCATTGTTTTCTCCTGCAGGGGACCGATCCGCCAATGTGTGGTCTTTGCGACACTCAGGTCACTATTGCCCACGTTTTACTTTCGTGCCATCGCTACGACTGCGAATGCCATTGGCAATGGTGACACTGTCCAAGTTGATCATGTTTTTAGCTTTTTATGGGCCACCGGCCTTTCTAATTCTATTTAATCTTTTAACTCCATTTACGGACAATGTTTTGTTTTGGCTTGTTTTATCTTTTTTTTAATTTTTACAGTATTTTACTTTTGCTCTTTTTTTACTTTTTTTTCAGTTTTTGTACCGATTGTTTGGCACGGATAGTCCTGGTGCTTTGCGCCATAAACCTCCGACTAACCAAACAAACGAACCATAAAAGAATAAAAAATTCTAATTTAGCAACTCTATCCTTTACTATTTGTACAGCAATTTCCTTTTCATTTTGTGCGTCTATATGTGGAAAACATTTCACTCTCATTTTTTTCTGAGTCGAACGTCAATAATTAACAAAGCTGTATATAGCTTTTACTCTGTCGTTAACGTTTTATCATTAACTACTTATCGTGGTATTAATTTGACATATGTTGTTTAGATAAGTTAATGCAGTTGCTTATGTTTTTATACCTAATTAAGAGCATTCTTCGATACTATACTTGGTCCTCACCAACCGGATACAGTAAGTGATCTTTTATTGTTTTGTACAGTTTTTAATTAGCACTTTATGTATTAAAGAAGTATAACTACGACTTCTGGTTTAATTCATATATGTGTTTCAGGTTAGTGAATTCAATTACAAAATAATTCATTACTTTTAAAAACATTAAAAAATACACTGTAGTAAGCTATATTTTCAATGTTTTAATTTAGTTATTTGCTAGAGTGAGCTGTTAACGTGATGATAACACAAGATTTAGAAAGTTTATAAAAGTAGTTCTAAAACACCTAGAATGTTCGTGAATGTTATTAAACGAGAAAGTGTACGAAATATCTAGAAACAAGAATGCATTATAAATACTAGAATTAGTGAAGCATTGAGTATATTTTTCAGTTCGTTCAGTTATTGAGAAGTTAGCAAAGTATTCAGATCAATATTAGCTATCGCTTATATCTAATTATTCGATAGGCCGTAAAACTGTACAAATAATTTTATTTGTATGTTAGTCGTTAGGATCATCAGAAAGTAAATTTTTGTTGAAAGAGAAAACGGTATGGGCCTATAACTGTATACAAAGTTTGTGGAATAAACTAACTTGTTATCGTTACGTGGACTGGACTTCGCATTATTTTCACCAAGTACTTTAAAAACAATTTCCTAAACGATATATTTGATTAAACTTGTTACAAGAATATACCGTTTCTTTATCAATTGTCTTTCAAAAATAGTCTGGCCATACTTTGAACAAGCTTGATCTACAAGGAACTACAGTGGGTATAAATACAAATATATTTCAGAAAGGTAGTTTATTAGTGCTAAAATGTTGGTGAGATATCTAAAGATTGAAAATTTCATAAAATTATGTGAGAAGAGACTATAAACTGCTAAAAAGTAAAAAAATGGATACATAGAATAGTTACAATGCTTGGTCACGCGTGATCTGTTGAGTATGATATTGTTCAAAGTAACAACGAACATAATTATATAATAAATATAAAATGTTCTGGTTGGCAAGAAATACTGTGAAAGCGTGACGTCAGTTCACTTGTTAGGATTGTGAAAAGCTGACAAAAATAATTTTTGTAACGAAACTATACTGACTTTATTGCACTGAGAGGGTCACCATCTGTAAGAAGAGTACATGAGTGTGTGAGATTTTAGAAGGACTGAGAGAGGCAAACCATGCATAATCCCTATTAATGCTTGTTAGTATTTTTCTTGATATAAAGCTTATCAGCACTGGTATCTTAATAACTAGATACGAATTTTGTGCAGTAATGAGAGATGCTGAGCTCAGTTTGAAAGTGATTTGGAGGTGAGCATGTTTACGTTGCGTTAATTGTGAAGAATTATGACGAATGGTTGTGGTGTGGGTTACAATTTTCATGAAGGATTGTTTACAACAGAGTTATCTATTTTAATGCTAATATATAGTTTATTAGTATACAAATCTGGAATGTTATTCAAATGTTCTCTACTACTATTACCTACAGTTCAGCCAAATTATTCAGTTGCCTTTTGACCCTTTCAGCCTCAAGAATATTAATATTGGGACTTTGGGTAGACTAAGCTCTGGTTGTGAGTGTTCCATTAGCCTGTTTCCCGTCAAGAGGTCGTTATAACACATTTGCTGAACGCACATGCTTGTTATCATTGTCTTGTTGGAAGTTGAATCCATGAACGAAGTATCATGTTTTTGAAAGATTGGGATGATGGATCAGTAACTGTCTGCTTTTCGATGTCAGGATGTTACCATTTTTGTGTATATCACTGATACCGTCGTTTGAGATGCACTCTCAAACGTGTACTTATTTACCACATGCTTTACTGAAGATGTTGTACATTGACTATGATGTCATGCTCCTCTCGGCTGTCGAACAGTCATTGATTATTGCCAAACAGTTCAAACTTGTTGCCATCTGTAAAGAGCACACATCTTTAGCTTTCATTAATCCACAATTTTTGGTATGATGTCAATTTCAACCTATTACTTTGCATATCTTTTCTCACCAATGACTTTCGAGGCAGTTGCACATCTATTGAGACCATTTCGTGTTAATGTGTATCTTGCTCTTCTTGAGGTGACATTCACAACTATATTAAAGCAAAGTCATGAGCAAGATCTGTATTCGACTGTATCTCGTAACAACCATACCCTGAGATACTTAACATTATTTTTGAAAAGTTTCAGATTTCTAATTCGATCACTTCTAGTACTAACAGTACCAGTTTTCATACCCTCTTCAGAGTCTCGCATCAAGTTGCTACTGAAACAGGAGGCTTGCTGCGGTTTTTCGCAAGGAGTATCCTTGGATAGACAAAAATTTTAACTTCTACACGTTTGTCACGCGAAAAGTATTTCATTAATTGGAGCAATGACTGAAATTACACTACTACTGATACAAAAGAATAAACAAAACTCAGGTTCAGAACTATTACTTGGTATAGTATGATTGTCTTTACAGAATTCTATAGTGGTGTGATACTTTCTGGTTGTTTGGGTGACAAACAAGCGCAATGTAAACTATGATCACATAACTGTACTCTGGTGCAATTAATTGAAATATGGATGGCGTGCAGGTAGTATTTATTTTTTTATACAGTTTTATCTCACCGTTTCCATAATTATTTCCTATATTGCATGTTTCAACTAGAGCCGTTAATTTGTGTATCTAACTTATATTCTATAAGTATCTGAGTATTTAGCGCTGAGTATTTATTGATTTTATAGGGCCAGGAATGGCCAGGTGGTTAGGATGCTCAACTCGCAATCCCCGTCCCACCAAACATGCTCGCTCTTTCAGCCGTGGGGGAGTTATAATGTGACGGTCAATCTCACTATTCGTTGGTACAAGAGTAGCCCATGAGTTGGCGGTGGGTGGGGATGACTAGCTGCCTTCCCTCTAGTCTTACACTGCTAAATTAGGGACGGCTAGCGCAGATAGCCCTCGTGTAGCTTTGCGCGAAATTAAAAAACAAACAAACAAATAATAATCATTTTAATTTATAAAATGATCTGCTTATATAATTAGGACATCAGACTATTTGTAGACGGCTCTACCATTTCGTTTAATTCTAACACAAAATACGCGTATTCTTCAAGACATCATTAATGATTTTTTTTAATATACTGTTTTGGTTTAAATAAATTACATTATTTTTGAATTTATAAAAATAAATTTTTGTTTGTTGAATTTCAATCAAAACTGCACAAGGGCTATCTGTGTTAGCCAGTTCTTATTTTTAAGTGATAGATGAAAGGCAGATAGTCAACAACACCCACCGGCAACTTTTGGGCTGCTCTTTTCAGACTGAATAGTGGGATTTGACCAACAAACTTATAATATATCCACGGGCACAGTCCGACATGATAAGAACTGGGGCGTTTTCCCCCACCTCCCCTGTATCCACTGCAGGGAATTGAGCCCTGGATTTTAACACTGTAAGTCTGTAAACTTATCTTATATATTTTTTCTTTGTTTGAAGTTAAGTACAAAGCTATACAATGGGCTATCTGTGCTCTGCCAACCACGGGTATCGAAGCGGTGTAAGTCCGCAGACATACCGCTGTAATCTTGTTTCGAATGTAATTTTTGGGTATTTTAGCATTTATCCTAATCTCGGCTTTTTAATTTTCATTATTTATGACATTGTGTTATATATATATACTATAATTCATGACGAAAAGTTTATTTTATTCAAGTAATTTCTCTTTTACAAAATGGGGATATACATGGAAGTTTATATAGTTTCAGAATATATTTCCTGATTTACTCGAAATCTTTAGAGGGCGTTCATCGAATATGTCTCCTTCCATGGCTTAGAACGTGAGATTTGCTTCCACGTGGAGTTTGTTTTTTCGTCTCTAATTCATAGAGTAATAAAAGGTGAAACCATGAAAACAAAGCCAGTATCCCATAAAAGTGAAAACACTTTCAGGGTAAGGAAATCAGATTGTAGTTGTACTCAGTGTAATGATAAATTGACGTAAACTGTTATTAGTGTTAGTTAAATTCCTGACAATTAGATAGTAATATATGATAATCAGTAACATTAGAATGTATTGCATTTGATAAGTAGGCCTAACACATTAACAGTAGCATGTTACTGTCAGTCCAAGTTTCGGACACTTCTTTTTATATCAACTTTGGTGTTCCTGGCAAGAATTGTTTGTATTCTACTTTTCTAGGTTGCTTGGCGTTGGCGACTTAGGCTGTAAATGTAATCACAACCATTGTGTATATATACTGTTATTACTAATAATGAGTAATGTAGTCAAATGTAAAGAACTACATGACCATCATTCAGACAATCTAATTTTGATTATGGAACATTGTGCACTACTGGTTGCATCTAGTAACCATAACTAGCCTATCATGATTTAAGTTTTTGTAATTTGTTAAAAACTAGACAATTCGGAAAACAGAGTACATTTCAGGGGTGTGGAATTCATATCCTATGATACCTGGTACAGTAATATCTGTCTGAGAGAAACAGATTCTACCATTATAATTTGCCTGTGGGACAAGTATATGTATATTTTTCATGCTTTTGTTTTGGTGCTAGAGAAGCACTCCAAGTATATTTCTAGGGAGCTACCCAAGTTCCTAAAAGTTCTGAACTCCAGATATCTAGCACATATACATAAACAGTTCAAAATGTATGTCTACATGTCATATAAGAACTAAATACAGAAATATACTTATATCTTTAATTCACAAATGCTCAGTCACACACACAATCAATCACAAATATATTCAAATTTAAAGCAGTGGTATTATTACATTGTTTTTGTCTACAGTAGAGCCTAGTAAGATTTGACTGTCAAGTATAGGAAGAATATATAATATGATAAACATTACATGAAGCTTCAAACAGTTGTACACACATTTATATGTATATATATATATAAACTTATAAAAACTGTTTTCAATATGTATATATTAAACATAATTTCTGTTTGTGGCAGCATTAATGTAAACCATTATTTCTTTTATCACTTCATGCATGGGATATTCTACATGTGGTGCTGGAAAATCCTAATGAATGTTAAAACCATATAATACATGAATGAATATACATATTAAGAGCTTAGGTAAAAAATGTTGGGTGCTACTATAGCATGCAGTCTACACATATACTATCTTCATCACTGTTTTAATGATTCACTAAAACATAATTTCTTGCTAAATGAATTATATCCATTCCAAAAGAGTATCTTAAATTTAGGTTATAATTGTGCTAATTTTGATTGTTGGAATTTATTTCATTCCGATTTTATTTGCCACAAAGATGTTATGTAATGGTATTTTGTACTTTATTAGTTTAAAAGCATTATTTGTAATAAATGGCACTAATTGGAAATAAATGAAAGTTAAAATGGTGATGATGATAGCATCTGTGTAGACTGCACATTATAGTAGCACCAAATGTTGTATATGCCATTCCTGACAAAACTGAGTTGTCAGTGGCATTGTAGTGATGGATATGCAGCATTTTGATTAAAAAGATTGATAGATACAAAATGTTTCATCTAAATATAAAATAAATTTTGTAAAGTTTGAAATAATAATAATAATATTATTTTAGGTTTTATATAATAATTTCTAATGGTCTTATTTGATAAATAGCTTACTTTTAAATGTATATATATATATATTTGGAAAGCTGCATAAAAAAGCAAATTCTTCACACATACACTTGCATATACTGGTATAGAAAACCAAAATCCTAAATGTTATGTTTTTATCTTTTGTTTATTTTCTTTGGAAAGAGGAGGGGCAAGTAGATTTTCTATCATTCTGCCTCTTGGAGAAATGTTTTTTTTAATTTCAGCCCTCCTGAAACTATCTCAGGCAATTATAACTTTTTGCATAATCAGGCAAAGGTAGAGAGCAATTAATATTTCTATAATGTTACTCATGTAAAAAAAAATACTTTCCACACATTTCATTTCACAATAGCAAAGAAAAGATTGCTCAATATAAAATAAGTTGTCAGAGTATAGATTTGAATGCCTGATCCTGGAGTCATAAAACTAATACATATGCCTATTATGGCACCAAAACCTACTAGTGGCAGTGTCAAATACAACTGCTTACTAACACATGAATGGTGTAGCTGTGTATGTATACCCCAAAACATTGATGTCTGTTGTGTATATAGTCTTTTGAATAGTAGGTAAATAACAAGTCATGTCTTTAAATTTATGAATAGTAAGTGCATGTCCATCACATACATTGGTCACTACCTTGCTTCACCTGTTTTCTTACTTTATAATAATATTGACACCTTATAATCCAGTACATTACACTAATGTTGTTCTGATTCAGTGCCATTTGCTTATCTGGGCCAAGTGTGATCTCGTGGCGAGCTTGCTGGACTATGTATCTGAGGATCGACAGTTTTGGTCCTGTAGCCACATACAGAAGAAAAAAAATTACAAACTACACTTTTGGCAGTAGAGGCAGTATAAGAATAATGGTTAAATCCTACTTTTCAATTAAAGTGGCAAGTGCTGTCAGTTAAAAATTAAGAATAGCTAGCATATGTAGCATTTGTTTAGTTTTGCATAAATATCTCGAACAAACATTTGCTTTTCATGTACACTGGAAGTGGTAAAAATGAAATATGATACAAATACAATACACTGCTGCTCAAAATATCTTAAGTAATGTTATATTGGTGTGTCCAGACCAAGTTGTAAAGCTTTTAAAAATGTCTTTAATTTCTGCACTGCCAATTTTTCATGTAATAATTAAGTCTGATCTAGTTGCCATAGTTTCACAGTGTGTGCAAATATATATGCAGGAAACCATCTCATGGAATCTTATATATGTAACTAAAGTTATGTTATATATGTTTTACAAAGTATTCTGTTAGTGTTGTTTTAACCACAGGTACTTCCAATAAAGTAACAAACACAATGGGTAAATTTCACAGCTATAAAACCTAACTGCTATAAACAGTAAAGTATACAATTCATGGCTGATGCTACTACCTCAGTTAGGCTAATATGGTACATTTAAATAATTTCTGCTCAATTTATCGAGTCAAGTAGAACAATTTTACATGTAGTATTCTAACACAAATATCAAATATATATGTTTATTATATTTCATGCATGTAGCTATGTCTTATCTATCATTCTTCTTGCATGCTATGCAAATTGTTCCATTCTGCATGCTCCCACAAATTACAATATAAAACAGTAAGCACTTAATTATCAAAGCCTGATAATCTAATTAAAAATGCTTATGTTTCATTGAGGGACCAAACTGACTACTGACATTGAAATTTTAGCAGCTCAGTTGAAAAAAAAGAAAAAAGCTAGTGTTGGATCACTTGCAGATTCTTAGCTTTCATGCAGGCCTTGCATAAAAATGAATGCATTCTTTTATGCATCATATTCTAACCATAGACAATTTGAAACATCCACCGTGAATATGAAGTTGTCTTTACAAGACCTTGCTTTGAGTTTGGTATTTAAAAAAACAACAAAAAACTTGTTATAAATTCTATTTTAAAACCCAGAATTCTCTGTACACTTTTGGTTTCCTTATATGAAAAAGGATATTGATTTATTGGAAAGGCTATAGAGGAAGGCTACTAGGATATTTCTGCAGATGGAAGGATTAACTTGTGAGGATAGATAAGATCTTATAACACATTTTCCTTTGAGAAAAGAAAAATAAGAGATTGTGTTCTTGAATTTAAGATTATTTGGGGAGTTAATAAGGTGAAGATCTGATTTTTATATGTTGTATCTTGAAGACAGTAAGGCAGGACATAAGTGCAAGTAATAGGAAGAGAAGACACAAGTTTAAAATATGGAAAAGACAGTCTAGGCTCCAATTAAGATAGTTTTACTTTTCTAATATGGTGATTAACATATGAAATGAGATGTTGTTTGGAATATTGGTGACTGGTACTTTAGAAGAGTTTAAAAAGGGAATCAATAATTTCTGATAAAGTATATTACCTCATCTCACGTATATAGCTATTCTTGTTGAGTGCTGCCCTCTATATGCAAAAATTATTTTCTTTTACATGCCACGACCCTTGAAATCCTATGACCAACGTGGTTCAACTGCATCTCACATGTAAATCACCATGCGACAACCCTCCACCAATATGACTTCCTCTATTCGATTTTACCGAGCTATTGCTTCTCATTAATTAGTGATCGAATGCATACATTTTCTAATTATGCTCTTTTCACATGTTCATTTATTTCTTTATTTTTTTAGCAAAGTAGTGATTTACTTGATTTATTCATTTGCTACAGTTAGTTTTTTTCTATTAGTTTGCTGTAATAACTTACCTTTGTTTATTAATTTTCTTTCTAATTTTCGACTTCTTCACGTTTTAAGATGAATTCTGAAGTTTGTGTTTTACGACTTCTGATATTATTACTACTACTTCAAATGGCATTGCTGGCTTCAGATCTGGGCATCACAACTGAGATTTTTTGGATATCATTCGTCAGGAGATTGATTGTTATTTTAGGCATCCATTTTCTCCTGACAATGTTTGGGTTCCTCCTGCATTGTCTTAACTTGTTCATGATGAGGAGGATTTTGACAGCCTTTTTCCTCCTCCTAACTGTGACACGACTTCCCATGCATCTCCTATGATATCTACCTGGCCTAACTCTGCCTTTTTGGATATGCTTTCTCAGGTGGGTTATGTTTTCTTGTTTTCAGATGATACAGTTCCTTGTTTTCCCTCTTTCCCCTGACATTAGGGTTCACGCTGAGCATTTCATTTCTCAGTTGAGGGCTGGTGTTAGCATGCCTAAACCTACATGGACTTCTGATCATTATGATTTGGCATATCAGCAAGCTGATCCACCCTTTTTTCACTTCAGCAGTTGGAGTCACTTTTGTCCCTCATAATCCTATCAATTTCTTCCACATCCATTTTCCCACCTTTGTCTTACCCTTACAGCTATCTTACAGTGCTTCTCCAACATATATCTCCTTTCTGAAGCACTTCACTGATTCCCTAAGGGGTTTGGAGATACACTTTCCCTCCTTACTCCCCCTTGGCGGTATTGTCCTCTTTGGCCTTATCCCTTCACATTTGGTTTTGTTGCCATTGAGATCTTATTGGGAAGGATGCTGTCTTTTCACAGGTTCATCAAAATACCTTCCCCTTATATTCATGACTTCTGGATGGTTTATTTTCTTCATCAGTTTGGTTTTGGAGATTTTCCAGAGTCTTTGGAATCACATGTGGACTTTATGAGTCCACATCTGACCCTATAGTCTTTGGTTGCTCATTTGTCTTTCCCATAACTGTTTCTCATCCTGCAATCTCCCATCCTTTACCAATTCCCACCACTAAGGGTTTGAAATTTCACCGTGTATTTCAGTGACTATCAGGTGGTTTCTGGTTCAGTAGGGGGCACGTTTGGCTGTGGTGGTTATTCACTACTGATTCTTGGGTGATCAAAGTTTTGTCAGAAGTATTTTTCATCCTTTTCCTTTCCCCTACACCTTTGTTTCCTGTACCACTTTTTTTCCCATTAACTTGGGATCGAGCTCTCTGTCTGCATTTATCCAAGGTTTGCTGACTCTTCTTTTACTGAGAGCTATTGAGCCCATCAGCCAACCTTCTTCAGGATTTTACTCCAGGTTTTTTGTTTTGTGATCCATTTGTCCTGCCTCAACCAATTTCTGGATCTTCCCCAATTTCCCACGGGGTCCTTTATCACACTCAAGGTTTTTTCTTCAGGACTATGGATGACCATGTTAGATTTCTCAAATGCATATCTCCATATTAATATTTCTCATCAGTCCAGATGCTATCTTTGGTTTGTCCACTGCATGGTTGTGTATCAGTTTCGTGCCTAGTCTTTCGGGCTTGCTTCAGTATTGTATGTATTTTATGGGTGGTCAAGGCATTTGCCCAACTGCTGTATGCTCTAGGGTTGAGTTTGCACCACTTCATGGATCACTGATTCTTGTTAAATCATTCTGAACTAGAGTCTTCTCAATTCACACATCTGCTGCTGATAGTTGCAGCTCATGTTGCTTGAATTATAGAGTAGGTATAGTTTTCCTTTTGCCTACCCATTATCTTATCCACTTGAGTGTATTTTTCAATACCAAACTCATTCAGGCCCAACCTTCCCCCGTTTGATAGTGTTTTCAGTTCTCCATGCATTTACTGGTTCATTTGTTTCTGCGTGAGTGGTTCTGTCACTTTTGAGGACTTGGGCTTCTATGGAAGTACTAATTTCTCTGTGTTGGGCACATATGCATTCTCTTCAGTGGACTCTGCACCACCAATGGAATCATACTTGGACTCCCCAGTTACCCTTCCTCCTTCCCTTACAGACTATTTGCATTGGCAATTGAACAAGTTTTTTCCTCTAGCCTGAGGCCACTGTTGCGCTGAAGGTTTCCAGTCAGGTCGGTTTTCTTTTGATGTGAACTGCCACATTGGCACATTCCTTCACACTGTCATTCAGATTTGGGTTCCCAGATGTATGGGTGGTTGTGGATTTGCACACATGCTCCGTTTAGTAGATTGGTTTGATATGTATATAATTCTGTTCTACTCAACTTGAGGTGAAGATGGTGTGGACCCTTCTCTTACCATGGGGCAGAAGTTGTAATCCTGATGCTTTTTGGTTTAGGACTGGAGTTGACTGGCCGCATACAGTCAGTCATGCCCTAGCTACTATACACCTTGGAGCACATTCATTTTAGCTTTCCCCACATTCCTGTCAGTAGATGGTTCTTCTACAGTCTTTCTTCACTGGGATTGAGATTCCATGATATTGTGGTTCAGATTCAAACCCACCAGGTTTTTCTCTTCCTTTTGGTTGTGGTCTTCCCACTTTCTGCCCATGTAAGTGACACCTATTTCCACGGTGGGTGCTGTATTTACCTGGTACATAAGTGGTGTGGTCTCTCGTGTGTATTTCTCTCCCAATAGGGATCATATTTTATAGGTGTTCTCTGGACACTTTTGAAGAATACTTTTTCTAACCTTCCCACCAGTCCCTCCACCTATTCAATGTGGGAGATCTAACTATACATATGAGCAGAAGTAATGTACTCTATTGGAAGTTATTATTTTCATATACTAAAAATATATTTCTGATAGATACTTACCTACTCTCACACTTCCCACTCTTCCTCCCCACTGAAAGCCAGTGCTTTCTTTTCTACCTAATCTCGAAGTGATAGTTTACTGGAATTGAATAGAGGGAGTCACATGTGTTGAACTCCTATTGGTGGAGGGTTGTTGCATTATGATTTACATGCGAACCACGTGTAAACATTTTTTGCATATAGAGGGCAGGACTGAACGCGAATAGCTACACATGTGGGAGGAAATAAGTACCTATTGGAAATTTATTTTCAGTATAGGAAAATAATAACTTTCTGGAAATTAAAAGATGGGTTTATATTTTACTTTTTTCTCAGAGATAGATGTGAAAAGATAACTTGAATGACTAAATGGAAATGGTTTCTGATTGTTATATTATGAATGCTTCACTGAAACCAACTAATTATATTTAGTAGAGTTTGGAAAATGACATTTATTGTTTAACTAAAACTGTGAGAGGTGTAGTCTGATCTCTGATTCATAGAGATCTTCATTGGCTGCCAAACTGTTTATAGAACCAAGCTGGAAGTTTGAAAAATTCCATACATGCAAGTAGGGTTTCATGCTAGATTGGGAGAAAGTTAATCAGTACAGGCAATTAATGATTGTTGGTGGTGACTGTGGAGATCAATAGCTAAACTCTAGACTAACATAATGAAAATAAAATTCTACATTTAACAGGAAACAGGCTGCTACAAATGAAAAACATCCTATATTTTACTTGAATAAATATTATTTCAAAACATACAAACATTAATAATTTAAGTGTCTGAAAAAGAAATTAGAAAAGGGTTATCAACATAGCTTCAAAGTACTTATTTAGTAGTGTATTCTACTATAAATGAGCTTAACTTTTAACCTTTGGTTCACACTAATGGTTTAAGACTGTTTACCCTGCTTGCTGAGCTGAATATACATGGAGCAAAGCCCAAGCAAATTACTATGTCTCCTAAATATTTCAAAAATATCAAGTTTACAATGGAAAATCCAACTTGTTTCCTTAAGCTAATGACATTGTAGCTTCAACCAGAGCTGAAAACATATATGTCAAACATTCAAACACCAAATTGACTGTGTTTGTACTGCAGTTGGTTTCATTTGCCATTTACTTGGTTCATGTGGCCCACAGGACTGAGATGAGGGTGGCAGATCTGCTTGTTAAAAAAGCTGCTTCAAGGTCTGACTGAGCTTAACCCTTTGAGTGCGTAATTAAATTTTGAGTGATGGAAAATCTATTAGTTTCGCTTTTGCTTGGTGATGTACGCACACTTGGTACTAAGGCAGGAAATTTAAGGACATGTGAGTATCACGATTGTTGCACTAGGTGGAAAAGTTTTTGTAACACCGTGGGGTAAGTCTTCTTGTTGCACCAAACGGCTATAAATGTCAAGTTTGATATATCTGATTATAACATCCAAAGGGTTAAGCCACAGAATAGGGTTTACACAGACATCTTGACAAACATGAGCAACAAAATATAATTAGAAGTTTGAGCAGTAGATTTAATATGAATATGTATAGACACATATGTTGTCAGGAATTTTGAACATTTTGTCAGTTAAAAACAATAACAAACTACATAGCTAAAAAAATAGAGAAGTTACAGTGTACTGAGCTAATCAAATGTCAGGTACTTCTTAATCATCCATTCTTGTAAAATAAACATTTTAACATATCACAAACTTTACTTACAAATCATATACAAATGTTAAATTAACTACAAACATATTCACTACCCTTGAAGGCAATTTAAAAGTGTAACATACAAAACTTGTGTATAATGTACAAATAACTGAAGAGAAAATAGCATCGATCAATGTGTCAGTTGATTTTCACAAATACATGTAAATAGTTGTGTTATTTTTAAGTTCAAAATAAGAACAGAAATATATTAGAAAAGTATTTACTACCTAATTGTATAAGTAGAATACAATAAATGACAGTGTTCAAAAGTAAGAATAAGAAAAATTATATGTAGAATGTTGCCAAAATGTCCAAAACAATCATAATCATGAAAAACCAAACCATAAATTAATGATCAACAAAATGAAAAAAAAAAGATTGAATAAAATTTTAGCTTGGTCCCTTCTTTTTCAGGATAATGTATTTATAGGTGTGATATGACTTATGTTGTACTACTACTACTACTACTGTTTAAAAACAAAGAAGAATTTCCACACCTTAACTACATGTATTTTGATATGTGAAAATTGCCCAAGTATATGCAGTAAAATATCACATTCTGTGTAGTTACTTAACAAGATTAGATTTAAATCTAATACTACTTTCTTAAGGTAACAGGTAATTGTAACTGTTACTGAAAGTAATAATCTGTTTGTTTTCTTTTATCCTAGTTCCAAACATTTTCAGAAAGAATAGCAGCCGTTAATATTGATGTTATTCACCGAATTGGTCAATCCTCACAAGTACCAGAGGAAAGAGAAACATTTCTGTTGGAGGCTGTAGAGAAGTGGAGTGATCTAAATTGTACTGAAGAATTTGGTAAGAGTTTGATAAATAATACTGATAAATATTCTCGTGTGTTGTAAAAGTTCTACATCTTAAAGATCAATGAATTTCAATAACAAATTTGATAATGTAAATGCAATATTGCAATTACCATAAACTTGTTTATTAGGTAAATTTTTTATTAAGTACCTATAAAAATGCATATAAAAATGAAACTTGGAAGAACTGTAAAAAAAAGGCAATTTTAACAAATAATTTTGAGGCTTATACCAAAATAGTATAGTGAGATAAACTCCAAATCAACAATGAAATGATGATCTGTATTAATTAAGCCAATATTTGTTGCTTGTAATTACAGTTTTGTTTTCAACATAATTTAACTGATGTCTGATGTGAATCCGCTGGTTTGTAATATTCAAAATATGTAAAGATTCCTGGTCAAATATTTGAAGTTCCCAATTAATAAGCATTATAATAATCACAGTTATAGCTTGTGAGTTTTATAGCAAACCAGTAATATATATATTATCTTTGATGCATCACATTTGTTATACTTATAGGTGTGAGGAGAGTTTCTCAAAATTTCAGCTTATGCAACAATATAAACAATACATCAGTGTTGGCATACACATACATTCTTACACTCGAGAATTTTCTACAATTTTAATGAATAGGTAGGAATTTCACAATACAGATTTAACAGCATAAATTATGTTCATTTTTACATATAAATTTAACTTAAACAAACATCAATATTAAAATATATATACGATAGTAAATCCATCACAATATGCATTTTGGAGTCCCTAGAGGTTATCCAAATGTAATATGCATACTGTACAATGAGAAAAGTATTTTCTGATGTGTTATCATACCCACTCTCACAAAAAGCATTTTTTTGATTTATACTGCCCTTTGTTGGCACAGATTTTTGCTCACTACTAGCCTTGATACTCTCAGTTACCCTCACATATATTAACATGAGATATCTGCATACTAACATGCAAATCATTATGCAGCAATCCTCCACCAATAGGAGTGCGACATTACTCCTATCGTAGCTAGCACCATATCTAACCTTGCAGTTTTAACCACACTGAAGATTGGCAGTCTTCTTGTACAGACATGTTTTTTGCTTGTGGTTTGATTGACTTATAAAAAAGTTTTTCTTTTCTTGTTTTTCAGGCCTATCAACTTCTTTTCTAAATCAGTTACATTCTCTATTTAATTTTTTGTAAATTCTGGTGGAGAGTTACAAATTATATTTTATCTTTTCTCTACTGCTTCACTTTCATGAGTTCTGCACTCACAGTTTTAGGTGGTCACGACTACAACTGCTTGCAGTGGATTTCCTGACCACATACATGGGATTGGAACTGAGGTTGTCGGCACATGTAGTGATGGCTCTGGTGCACTAGGAAATTGGTCAATTTCATGCTACATTCAGAACATGTTCAGGATTGTCCTGTCATACCTGCTGAAGGTTTGATTGATTGGGAAGAGGCAGATTTGGGCAGCCTTTTTCTACTCCTGAATGGCCCACTCAGTCACGTGTCATTTCAGGGGAATTGCCCAGGCCTCCTTTGCCTTTTGTGGGTTTGATTACTCTGGCATATTATGTTCTGTCTTTCTCTCTAGTTCCTATGGTTCCACCCCTGCCCTTCTTGGGGATGAGCCTTTGGGTCAATATTAATTATTTCCTTCTTCCCCAGTTATTGGGGTTCATGCAAGTTGGGTAGTGTTGCACTCCTATTGGTGGAGGGTTGTTGCATAATTATTTGCATGTTAGTATGCAGGTATCTCATGCTAACATATGTGAGGGTAAGTGGGAGTATCATGGCTAGTGGCCAGTGAAAATATTCGCGGATAGGGGCAGTATAAATCGAGAAACACTTTTTGTGAGAGGGGTTAGGAACATATCAGAAATTCATTTTCAGTTTAGGAAAATGTTAACTTTATTCTTAATTTGTACGTCACTCTTATCTCTCTGACTCTGAGTATGACTGATGTCGTCAATTCATAGATACATCTTGAGTATACATACTTTTGTAACACATTTGTTTTCTGTGTACAACAGACTTGTACATTTCATTAAAAGCTTGCCACATTTTGTGTATATACACATAGTAAATTTAGAATTATAGTCAAAATTCATTCTCCAATATGGTGTCAGTCCAATAGACTGGCCTATGCTACATGCACATTTGCATCAAACCCTCAAATATTGATGATTTTTCTGCAAACTATATAATCACACTGTGAGCGTATAAGTTAAACTAAATATCATAAAAAGTGTCATTTCCATATGAATTCCATTCTGCAAATACATTACTGATTGGACTAAACTACAGTAATATAAGTGAATATATATATTCACATTTATCTTGGGGTTAACAATACTTCTGAGATCTATGGATAGAGCTGGTTGAGTAACTTAATATAATTGATTACCTGTTAGTGTCAGCTACATCAGTTAGTCTATGAAATAATCAGTTAATCAAATTTACAGTTAAATCAAATAACGTCCCCAAAATAATCTGCTAGCATTTCTGGTTATTACTGTATTTGATTATTCCAACCATCCAGTAATCATGTTTAAAATTAAGTCAATTAATTTCATGACAATAATCAAGTAATCAGAATTGGTGTTCTGATTATTACTGTTTTTGAGTATACTAACTATCCAAATAATCGAAATATCATCCCTTCATTTGTTTGTTGTTGAGCACAAAGCTACACACCTGATTCATCTGTGCTTTACTATAAAACTAACAACACAGATTTGTAATAGTTAGTAATAAACATAAATAAAGTGTAATTAATAGCTATTCTAATCATAAAGTACTTATGCTTTTCCACTTTGGAGGCTTGGAAAAATTGAAAACATAGAATTGTATTTTCTTTGCCATATTTTGTAATAACCATCAAAATTATGCTTAATGTACTCTGAATTAGTTAATAAGCACTAATGAATTTGTTATAGGAAGTGCTATCGGTAACTTTTAATACTTTTGTTTGTTATGAATTAAAATAATTTTAGAATGAAATTTTAAAATGTATTTTAAGATACTTTTTAAACTACATCTGTATCCAATATGTCTTATTGATATAAGACATGTAAAAGTACCAGACTCTGGCCATTTTGAACCATTGTGAGAATACTCACAGTTGTTTATAATTCAGACTTCAGTAATTTGCAAAAAGTTATAGAATTGTCAGTATTTTTATTCCATTTATATGCTTTTAACAATAGTTTTAAATGACTTAACTCTAACCTTTCAGATAATTAGCAAATTTATACTTTATATAAACTTGATAATAGATGATTAGACATTTTGCTGACAGGAAAATGATCTTAGAGATAAATGTTACTGTTTATTGTGGTTGTCTTCCAATACATTAGGAAGTTGCTTAAAGATAATTAGCAGGTGAAGTATGGTTAAAAATTTAGTTCTTTTGATGTATCAGCATCATTGTCATTATAATATTTGTATTTTGGCATTAAATGATTTATTCTCTGTACAAGTATCAGATAGATTTGCTAATAACATTATGGTCAACCAGGAAATTTGTGGAGTAGACTATATTTGAAAACTTGACTGTATTCATTTACACAAACTAAACAAGAAGAAAATACAGTATGCATACTTCTGCAGACAATACGATTGTTTCTTCTACCTGATTTTGATTAGATCCATAACTTTCTCTTTTGCAAGGTAGATTGCTGTAGATCTAAACTTGTTGATCTCCAAAAGGAACTGAACTTGTAGATCTCCTGTTAGAACTAAGAAGTGAAGCTTCAATCTAACAGGTAACCTTGGTTTCTTTGTTCAGTCGACGGTGTCACCTCGAAACACTTGTTCTCTCGCAGCATTCACTGAATGTAACATACAAGCATCATCCATTCAGCTAGAAAGACGTATTGTAGTTGGTGACCCATTCAACATGGATATACGATGTTCTGCAATATTCTCATGTGCAGAATAGATATCATCTGTTATAGAGAATAAAGGAACAGAGCAACTAAAACAAGGCAACTTCAATGGTTTCCTAGACTATATGTCTATGCCAAAACTGCATAGAAATTAACTAAATATATTTTTTTAAATTCCTATATAATCAAAAGCAGAGAAAAAAATATATGACATATCTGCATATCACACATCTCCCTTCCAATCCTTTTCTGGCTACTTTTCACCTTGTTATCAATGTAGGTTATCAACATCTACCAATCTCTTTATTGGAATAGGGGACCTCTTCTTCTCAGGAAAGTTTTGTCCCAAATTCATTTCTTGTACTGCATACTCTCATCATATTACATAATGTTCTCTTTTATTATCTGTATCAGCAAGAGCTTGTTCACTTATTCCATTAAAACCCATTACAATTGCATCTTTAGGTTTCTGCCACATTGATAGAAACTCCACCTTCTCTCCTTCAGTACTTTTTCTGTAGTTGCTCTCTACAGTCACATTCAGGTGTATGAAGATAATTTATGTGAATACTTTTAATGAAATCACCAAACACATATGAAGATACATATTTTAAAATGGTTATATTTCGTTATTTTGTATGGAGAACTGGTAGGAAGGATAGTTAACACCTTTGCATGAATTTTTATCAGGTTGACAAGTTCATTGAAACACTGTCTTTTCCACAAGTTCTCTAAGCATTCAATACATTTGTTATGTTACACTAATATTTATTTGCCAGATTTGTTTTTCAAGAAGCATATATATATATATATATATATATAAATGTAAATTTTATTTAGATAAGTTATCTAAGAAGATAGGGAGAGATATACAGCTGTTACCTCAAGTTCTGCACAGAAAGGTAAGTTGTTAACAAACCAATATTTAATAGTTTCATTTTGAGTTTACTTATCAATGAATCATATTATATTACAAGCTACAGTTTTTACAGTAAGTAAGAAAGCTTTGTTTTAGAACATATACTATGTTATTTTGATCACTAGTGGGAACAAGTACACAGGTTTTACCGATAAGTATTTAAACAATTGATTATAAAGTGCATAAAATTTGAAGAATACAAATCTTCTCAAGAATAAATATAATTAATGAATAAACAAACTTTTTACGGTAGTGAAATCAATTTTAATGTAACTTTTTGCTAATATACAGAAGAAATTTACCCAAGTTTTACTGTAATGAATATCAAAGAATATAAACAAAATTTTGCTTTTATAGCTTTAGATTAAACTTGTACATCTAATTTAAATTTTTGTATATTTAATTTGAGATCAATCCTGAAAATAATTAAAATTCCTACTCTTCCAACTATAGTATTATGTTAGGCCTACATATACAAAATCTAATAAATAGTTTTTGACTACCATAAACATAAAAATTTGAAAATATCAAACATTCTTGTCAACAGATGCTCCTATAAGCATTATTAATCATATTATTTGTGATTATTTGAATGAAATGAATGCTACCAAACAGCAGATTCGAATGTTGCTAAACAGAACATTTTCTTAGTATTGCTATATACAGATAACAGGATATTTTCTTGAGAAACCAATTACATATGTCATCATGAGAATGCAGGCTGAATTCAGATGTCTTTAATCCTGAACGTAGATTGTAAAAATTATTCAGGTTTAAATATTTAATACCTGTATCAAAAAATTAAAATATTGTATATGAATACAAATGTTCTAACTATATTTTGTTATGTTGGATCCACTACTAGGTGGTTATAAGTTTGTATACAAGATCATGCAAATTTGAAATCTAAATAATTTTCCAGCATTAAGAAATGTGTTGAATTAATGTAATAAACCTATAAGCAAAGGACAATTTAAAATCCTTGCAAAGGTGAATAATAAATGAGACCTATGCATACTGGTTAACAGACGTCAACCAAAGTTCAGTGAACAGAATAGAAAGGAGTTTTTCTTGATAAAAATTTTTTAATAAAGTATTTTTTCTTTTCCAAAAATTATTTGCGTTATATTTACAATTTGACACTATATAGTGTCATATGTATTATTTTAATAGGTATAAAACTCATTTTGTTATAAAATTTAGATCTGTTTTTGTGGCACCCATACAGATGTATCAGGAAATGTGTAGCCTCTTTTATTGTGTTATAGGTTTGATACATATCAAGTCTATAGAAAAAGCTACACATTTAATGAGATATTTAGCTTCTTTTTATGAGGACAATCTCAGGATGACAGGTAACTGTTCATTGTTATTGATTCGAAAATACACGAAATGTTTGTAAATTAAGTACATTTGATCTTAGCTTTATGAAGTTTACATGTAACAATTTGAAGACACGATTATTTACTCTTACCTTTTTTTTTTCTTTTCCTTTTTTGCAGGATGAACTTGTAGAAATCTTACAAGAGAGTTTACAGAAAGTTGATAATCTAGCCCTAGATGCCACTTTAGAGTAAGTATTAGAGTAATATTTTTTAATTGTTTAGTTTATTGGTTATTTAATGTTAATTTAGTTTTGACGTTAGGTATTATGATGGTTTTATGTTAACTTTAGGCTTTTATACCATACAGTGTTTTATTTAGAATATATGGAATGAAACCCAGTTTTACATTTTGAAAATAATAGAAATACTTGAAAACCAACTTTGCTGGGTTGCAGTGTTTGGTAGAGTTAAAGAAATTAAAAATATGTGCTTAAAAGTGAATTTTGCAATTCTTTTTTCTTAAATCCCTGAAAAACAGAGGCCTACATATTATATTTGAATTTCATGTTCATAAAAATATTAACTTAAATGTATGGGCCATTTCAAATTAGGAATAAAATTTAGTTAGAGGCCCTAAAAAAGATCTGTGAAACTTTCCTGAATATTTTACTTTTTTTTCATACTTTATTGGTAATTTGGCTTTTACATTCTTTCATTTTCATTGATTATTTAATTGCTTATTATATTTTGATTTAATAAAAATTTTAGTGTGTATATTAAGCTATTTTTGCATTAGTTGTTACCCTATTTTGTTTATTTATTGATCACCAATTAATCAGTAATTTGCTGAACTGATTATAGATTATGTTCAGCTCTAATTACTGTGGAAATTGATAGAGATAAAGAAATCTAAGGTTTTTTAAAATTTCACTAGCAAAAAGTACTTGTTAAAATTAATCAATAAAATTTTTAAGCAATAGTAGTAGGTTTATACCACAGTTCTAATTATAGAATATGTAAATCAATTATTCATTGACCTAAAAAGCTAACATAGTAATATATTTACAAAATTTCACTTTCATAATGGCTGGAGATCTTTGATAAAGGGATTCATTGGAACCATAATTATGGTGCTAACTACTGAGGCAGTTCAAATAAATGTTTCATGTTTGTGAATATATTTCCTTTTATTTATTTAAGACCATGTAATACTTAAGTCATATAAATGGAGTATGAATGCATAAAAATTTCCCCATTTAAAATTGTACTTTCTCATCAAGTCATCATACCTAAGTGACTAAAAACAAAGTAATTACATAAAAGGGTACTTCATTATAAACTTTTTTTTAAGAGAGGTGGAGGTATGAATACATAAGGTTGAGTATGTTTTAATAAAACAGTTTTGAAACGTTCATCATGTCATTACAATCAATGTCTCCACATCCATTCAGGCTCTATCTGATGACTCCACATTTGACAATAGCCCTACAGCACAGTTTCCATTGAAATTCTCTATTGTAAGACCTAGTCATACCAAAAGCACGGGATTCCTCCTTGTTTGCTTTCTAGTGTACAAGGATGGTTGCCTCCTAATGCCTGTTTCAACAGTATGATTTCCCAGAAATCATAAGTGCTGTATCCAGTAACATGAATGGTATGTCTTCATATGGTAAAGCATGAATACCCATTTCATTCTAAAGCTGCTTGAGGTATGAGATGGTTAAATGAGAGATATGACTCAAGCCTTATCTTGGTGAACCAATACCCTTTTAGCCTTGTTTCCAGATGGTGATCCTTTTTGATTATGCTGCATACTGTTGCCTGGATCACATTGACAGATTTTGCCACTGACCTTTGCATTCATGAATTTTCACCTGTTACAAAATGACATACTTTGCTTACCATGAATTGGGGTATGACTGGTTGCAGGTCTCTTTCTTGATCCATATTCCCGACATTGAAATTCTAAATCCCTGATGTAAACACATCTTTATGATCTAAGTGTATTAATATTTTGCATTAGGAAGTGTTGATACATACCTCTCCAAGTTTGATCAAGTTTTGGTGGCATCACACTACTTATGAAACACTAAACACTGTCAAACAAAATGTAGTTATGATACATGTAATTTCATTTTGATTGTGTTTGTTACTTGCTGATTTGCATATTCAAATTTATTTTCATATAATATACTCTACCCATATCATAGTCACGCAGAGAACCAAGGAACATAAGGCCAACACTATTAAATCAATCTAATAAAACCACCTTTGGTGTGGAAAAAAGGTACAGCCAAAAAAAGATTAAGCATGCAAATCAAAATTGGTGGTCTATCTATACTTATAGCATTGATAAGAATTTTACAGAAAATATTCATTCATTAGTTAACCAGGCCACATTTTTTGTTCAACATGGGGCATGATGGTGGGTAAAACAGCCAAGATCTTTTTACATACTCGCAGTATGTACATAATAGTTTGAATTGTGTCTTCTTTTTTCTCCTGTGCTATGTGAAGCAGTTTTAGGTAGTATTTGAAAGAAACAGTAATTGATTCTAAATTTTCTGCTATGCTAGGTTTGACTTGAGTATATAATGTATATAAATATATTTTAATCATCTTTTAACATCTAATTCCTTTCTTTTTGAGAAGGTGTATATTTTTACTGAAAATAGATGCACATGTTTCAAGATTTATGACTTCAGTGAATGACAAAAAGTAGTTTTCTGTACCTGATATATAAATTTTTCATAATAAATTACTTGTATCATATATGTAGGATTTGATTTTGTTATTCTCATTGTAAGAGTTTATCTTCAGTAGTAGTCTAGAGTTATTTGTATAATTACATGTACATGACTGTATCTAGGAAAAGTTGTAAAAATTAGGCTAGGTGGATATAAGCAAGTGTATTAAACTTTGACATAGTATATGGCATTATATTAAAATTGCATTTCTCTAGGTTTGTAGTTGCTCTGGCCCGTGACATTCAAAAAGATTTCTACCCGTACTTTCCTAAAATCTTCACTTCTGTATGTAGTCACCTGGAAACAAAAGACACAGATATGTTGGAACGTTTGTTTTCGTGTCTTGCCTACCTGTTTAAATTTCTGTGGAGATACATGGTAAAAGACATTGAGAATGTGTACAGGTGAGTTATAGAAGCCAGATACCAACAGCCTTCATAATTAATATTCAATTTTATAGACTACATATTGATTGTTGTACACATTTGTGGTTATGATTCATAAGTTGCTGAGACATTAATTTTCATATTTGATGTTATAATGAAAATACTGCAGAGCTATTACAAAAATACTTAAAAGACTATATAAAAGAGGGACAAAACATACATAAATGTTCACTCTCAAGGTTAAAATTGCTGATTTGGGTTAAGATTGTGCTCAGAAGGGGTTTTTATAACGTATGGATTGATAAGATGAAGTACGTTGTTGAAACACTTTGATTTCAATAGTAATTGTCTTTTGCTAGAGCAAAGAACTGATTATTTAAAGTTTGTTTTTTTCTCTAGAAGAGAGATAGAAACATATGATTTTTAAGTCAAAATTGTTTTGAGATGAAACTTGTTCTTATAAGGTGGTTTTATTGACAAGTAATGATAGATATATGAAATATATGTATAGTAACTAAAATAAAGTAGCCTGATATTTTAAATCAAAATCAGGGATATTATATTCGGGAAAAGTAAGAAGAGTTTATTTAATTGGCTATACTCATTACTAGGTTGATTTTTAGTTATGATCTTTGTAGGTAGCTAGTTCTGATAAGAGGTTAATATTAATCAAATACTGTCCCCAAAAACTGATGTCATTTGGTCATCTTTAAACTAAAAAATGAGGTGATAAAATGAATATCACATAAGCAGAGATGTAAACAATCAAATATATATTAAAATAATTTTATTTAAAACTTTTTGCTATTCTCTTGGCATAGTATCTTGTTATGTTGTAGTGAGAAAATGTTAAAACATGACCCTGAAATTTTCTGTTTAAATTGTTTTGTCATGTGATATAACTTACGATTCTTGGTAGTAGGGACCATTATTTCGCTAAAATTAGCCCAATCTAAACAAAAAGCAAACAAAGTTTTTACTCGATTGATCCATTTGCATCAAAATTATTTTCATTGTTAATTTTTCAGTCTTTATGTTCCTTTACTGGGTGCAGAACATAAAGAGCATGTGCGTAACTTTGGAGCAGAAAGTTTTGCTTTTCTTTTGAGAAAGGTATGTGGTTTTTTGATATATTTAAATTTTATTTTAGTTTTAAATAATATTTTAATTACTTAATATATTATTTTCCTTTATTTTTTTATAAAAATTATGGAAATACTTCACTGCAATGTTTTATGTGGCATTTTACTGTTTTGTTTGAAGAAATATGATGTTTTCAATGAAATTATGATTAACTTAAAAGAAAGATTTATGTTAATAGACACATTTTTACAAGTGTATGCAATGCTGCATCATCATTAAGTTTTATATTTTTCATGTCATTCAGGTTATTGTTAAGTTTACTGACACTGTGTATTTCTTCAATGATAAACATTTTGATTTTGAATAATAACTATATAAATTTGAACATTATATAAATTTTTTTATTTTATAACAGTGATGATATAATGAAAATTGGATTTTATTTTTAAGGTACCAGACAAAGAAGAACTACTGAAATTTATTTTCCAAAAATTGGAAGATAACCCAACAGTAAGGTTCAAATTTGATTCATAATTTCTGCCGGAGCTATAGATCAACTTTAAATGAATTTGTTTACATCCAGAAAATATTTTTACAAATACTTTATCCTAATTTGAAATCTTATAATTTATGCCAGTATTAAATTAAATTATACATTTGAGAATAAGATGTAAAAGGACTTGATGAATATTCTATTAATATTGTAGCAAGCACAAGGAGTAGGACAGCTGCTGTTTGAGATGATTAAAGGAGTAAAGAAACAGTTTCACAGCTGTACGGCCAAGGTAAATGTTTACAATCTGGAGAAACTCGTTTTGTTTGTCAAAACCTGTGACAGAAATATTTTACACTGATTTTACTTTAGAACAGAAAGTTTCTACCTTTCACCATTTATTCTTGAAATAATGCCTAATGCTTTAACTAAGTGTTAAAAGAAGGATAAAAACATAATCATCATTAGATGCCAGAAAACATTCTACTGTGGAATACAGACTAACTGTTATTATTTGTACTTTTACACAACAGATATGTATCAAAAAGAATGTAAAATAAGGTTGACAGAAGAAAGGTAACTTTGAAAAACATCTTTAATATATTTATATGACTATACAAACCTTCAAACAATTCAGCAAAGTACTAATTAGATAATAGGCTTAGTGATAAGTTAATAGTATGTATACATGCCATTTTTTAGTACAATATTTTTTAGTTTTCCTGTATAAAGTTACCCTAATATATTCAGAACTTGTAACATTTTATTTTTGTGTCAATTGTTGTTTAAATATTTGCTAATTTTGCCACACTTATATTATGGCTTCTGATATATTTCCATATGTAATCATGTAATTAGTTATTAGTTAAGTGCCATGTTAAAGATGTTCTATATATTTTTTAAAAGTATATTAGGCTTAAATTTTATTTACAAATACTGAGAATATTTATTAAAGTAGTATTAATTCTAACTATTTACAGGTAATTTATGCTTTTTATGATTTAGTTAGAACCTTGTTGAATGCACAACTGATATTAAATTTGTATGTGAAATTCATTTTGAAAAACAACGGATTTGTGTGAGAGACATGTCCTGCAACTTATCTGTATACCATGATGATTATTGGAATCTTATTTCAATTTCTCTAGAGAAAAACAACTCTTTAAAGAAATACTTAATGTGTTCCACCTTGTAGTAAACACTGCATAAAATATTTTTTTACCTCTGAGTGAAAAAAAATGTATTAATTACCTATTACTGAAAAAATATTACAGCAATAAAAAAAAGTATGAGAAATAATTAGTCATATCATATTGTACAATACTTACATATAAATTTATCATTATTATTTTTGCTGATGAAACTACTAAAATTATATCTATTTTAAAAATAAATTAGCATCTTTTCATCAATTTCTGTAGTAAAGGTTAAATACAATTAAATACGAAATACTATCAGTTAACTGTAATAAGGTACTTTAAAATGTAATGCAATATAAAGTTAAAATATTGAATGAAGTAGCATAATTTTGTAGTTTATACAAGTGTAATAAGAAATTGTTGTTTTTTGTATTTGAGGAATTTTTTGAAAATTCATGTAAATTCATAGTCTGTAAGATTAGGTATATGTTTTATCAATGTACCCCAGCTGGAAATTTACATATTTACAGGCTAAAATCTGGGGTTAATTTCCCTGCAGTGGACACAACAGATACCCATTGTGGCTTTGTCTAAAATGAGCAAATATTTTATTAATAAAACATAATATATCTCAAGTTCTGCAGAATTGAAATAAATATCACAATGATCAAAATTTGGATTTATTGTATCTGATTGGAAGTTTTAAATACAGAGTCAGTATAAGTTAATTAATAGCATGTGAGGCATAGTTTTTAATTAAGATAATGAATATCTAATCTATTTTTATGAAATTAAATTAAATTTATTGTTTTGCTGTGAAGAATTATGCAAGCAGATATATTGGGAAAAACAAAGGGTGATAATGTTGACATTATACTGAGAATGAGAGTGTTTGATAAACTAGTAAAAAAAAATTCAACGTAAACTTGTCTACATGCTGACAATTTCAGTGATATATTTTCAGGTTTTTCCTTTGTTTCTCAAATGTCTCGGACAGGAACTGAGTGAACAGTTCAGATCTTTAAAGCTTCCATGGGAACACGTAGAAACAGCTTTGACCCAAACAGTAATATCAATGGCAAAACATGCAACCAGGGAGTTTAGCAATATCATATGGATAGTTTTCTGTGTATGTATTTCAAGAATAATTTTTCTTTATTTTTCTCTCAAGAGTTTAAAATATATAATCTGACATGTAAAAATTATATCTGGTCTAGTAGAATGTTTATCATTTGAATGCAAAACTTTGATAAAACTTGTCTGGTTTTAATTATTTTCAATAAAATTAAAACTTCAGCATATCTTTTAACAATAGACTGCATAATTTGCAAGAGAAATTCTGAATGTCACATACAAAAGCTAGAAATTTCAGTCAAATGAATAGTTAATGTTGTCTCTGATTAATGCACAAATTAATCCATAATATAGTTTGATTTGGATTTACAGATTTTAGTGGAATTACTAATGAACTGCAATGTACACTTAACATATTAATTAGTTTGTGAACATTTATGTACATTTTAGGATACATTAAATCATCTGGAAGCAAAATTGAATATACTAAATGAACAAACTGACAGGCAACATGTGGCTGATCATCTTGAACGAGTGCTACGACTTTTAATGATTTGGATCAAACATAAGGATGGTCAGCTAGTGTCTTGTTTGGAACAACTTGTTCAGGTGTGATGTTATTAGTTAAAATTCTCTCTTAATGTGATCTAAGGTAATTGTAAATCATAGTCAAAGTAATGTGATTACTTAGATGATTGCTTATTACTTAGAAAAATAAGCCATTATTAGCTTTTTAGTCTCATTTTGTTTTTGTTTAAGAAATTTGTTTATCCTAATGAATTGCATTAAATGACAATTTCATGATCTCTAATGGTTAAGTGTTTTCTATTAAGATATAGCTTTTGTTACAAGTTGGAGACTTTTGATTTGCAAATTAGCTATAATGGTATTGAAATAAATGTGTGCAAACTTAATACAAAGCATTAAAATAATTTTATTAATTTTATGTACATGCTTAAAAAAGTAACAGTTACATTAGGCTACTACATAGAATACTTGGGTGTATTTATTTTATGTATGCTTTGTAGTGTAATATTTGCTTTAAAAATCAAACAGAAATGTAAAGTTTAAAGAGCCATGAAATTAGTAAAAATTTATCCTTAAATTAGTGCCTTTTTTGTTCTGTAGGGTTTGATAAAACAGTATACAAACTTACTGTCTTTTGAATAATTTCTCTCAGTTTTAACTTTTGATTGAACACTGTTTGTTTGGACTTACTTCATTTAATGTCTGTGGCTGTTGGTTTTATAGTTTGAATTCAAGAGTTTTTTTTTTTGCCATACTAATGTTTTTGCAATGTAATACATAAATAATCAAATAATTAGCTTGACATTTTTATGTTATCAGTGGCATCTAAGTTTATAATAACATAGTGATAAAGTATAAGGTATATTAAAAGATGTTTATAAAAATTAACATATATCACTAATAAATTTTAGTTTCTTACTGTAGATATTATGAAAAACTCATCTTACATTTATATCATATATTTACATATTCATTCTATTAGTAGGTTAGTAAATTTATAAATCTTTATATCGACGTACTTAGTTACTTTATAGGATAAATTCAAGATTATATTACTTTTTTCAGACAATGGTAGGCTTGACTGAGTGTGAAAAATTGCCCTCTGGCTCTCAGAAGCTGATTTGTCATGTTGTATCTAATTTGCTACTCAGTGATCAAGTTGATTTGTCAGTTTATCAGACAAAATGTCTGGTTTCAGCTGTAAGTATGAAAGATTGCTAAGTGTTGGTTAGTTAAATATGTGTCAAAGGGTAAAAATTTCATGTTATTTATATCATTGTAAATTAAAAGCCACAAATTATAAAACTGCAGTAATAAATTTGTTTTGGTTTATTATTAGCTCTATCCAGTTCTTTTTTTCTGCCTCAGCAACATTAGATTATTGCATATCTCATTCTCACAAGGTACAAATGCACTTAAAATATATGTACTAATAACAAATGTTTCAAAATGTCTATTTGGGCTAGAATATTTTAAACATACTGTTCTTACTTTGATTTTTTTAGGTAAGAATAATAAGTTACATTTCAATATTATATGCATTGTTTTATTTTAAAATAAATATTATTGAATTATTAGTATTTGCAGTCCTACTGAGCAAGTAACTTGGATAGTATTGATGAGAAGCTAACTCGGTTATTGCTGTTTCTAATTTTTTTTAATGTTTTTTTGTATTCCAACTACCTCAAGCTAAATTTAAAGAAATCTCATTTCATTGTTATTAGATTACCAAATATAAATGAAACATCCAGTCAAAATATTATTTTGTTTAACTTTGTATAATCTGTACTTTCTCTTTTTTTATTTTTAGATTTACAAAAGTAAATTTGAGAGATCTGTTCTTCTTGATTGTACAAGAACTTTATTTGACTACAAAATGTTTGAAAAGGTAAGGTTTTATAAATAATTATACTGATTGTATTTGTTTTTCACAGAAACCTAAATAAATACATTTGTATAAAAATGGCTAAAATGTTGTCATATGTAGTAAACTTTACCCTTTTTGAAATGGGTAAGTGTTATTGACATCCCCTGATTTTTTTTCCCTTCACATAGTCAAAATACTCAATCACATTGCAAGAAACATAATAAAAACTTACTAAATATATATAGTTTAAGCTTAAAATAAACCATATAATCTGATTTTCTTTTTTTATAATTTTTTACGTTGTCAAATTTCCAAAATACTTTTTAAAGCATTTCAGTTTTTTTTATTGTTGATCAGAAAGTTCCATTTTATATATATCCAGTGAGTTTCAATGTATTTGATAATCGTTAACAGATTTCTTTTCATACTTTTATTTCCTAATTGCACTTCAGACCAAAAATCATGAAAAACATGGAAAAAACTGAAAAAGATTTATCAGTGTCCTGACTTGTTACAATTGCATCAGGTCAGACTAGGTAATAATAATATTTTTGCTAACAATATGAGGTCTGGCATGGCCTGGTGGTTAGGGCACTCGATTCACAATATGTGGATCACAGGTTCAAATTCTGTCACTGAACATTCTTGCTCTTTTTAGCTATGGGAAAGTTATAATGTACCAGTTATTCCCACTTTCTGTTGATAAAAAGTAACCCAAGACTTTGCAGTGAATGGTGTTAACTAGCTGCATTATTACTTATGAAGTGGGGATGACTAGTGCAGGTAGCCCTCGAGTAGCTTTGCATGAAATTCAACAAACAAAGCTAACAGTATATTTTATTATCTCCTGTATCCTGCTTTAACCATTGGTATTTAAATTTTAGTTGTAGCTATTTTCAAAGTTGATCTCCATTACTAATTGTTCACAGCACATGTTGTAGGCCACAAAAAGCTGTGAATGAGAGGCTATATTAACAATCATCGAAAGAGAAAACAAACTGCATGAGAAACAAAACCTCAAGGAATGACAGTTTATTAGCAAATATAAACATGCTTTGGAATGGGCAGAAAAATTCTAAACAAAGCAATTAGCTTTAAACAAATCATAAACCTTATTATGAGCAGAGAGCAGCTTTCTGAAGTTGAGTGCATACATGCATATTAAATTTCACAATTTAAGTAAAAATAATAATTCTCACTTTTTTTTCAACAATTCTTTGCTTGAAAATATTGAGGAATTGATTTTTTGTAACTTTCCAAAATTTATTTAGTGTAATATCTAAAGAAACATTTTATAAAATATTTGAAATTTGATCTCTGCACAGTTCCTATGGGTTCCTGTAAACAATGTCTTTCTAGATTTTTTATAATTTTTTCTGCGGATCCAAAACATAGGTTTATATTTATACAGAACCTGTCATTCCTCAGTAATAGACATATCCATGCTTTGTTTCTTGTGTGATTTTCCTTTTCTGTCAATGATTGTATTTCAACAACCATGTGTGGAGAAGTTTTTGTGATGTTGCAGCAAGTTGGTTTGACAGTAACTAAAAAAGCTTAGTCTTGAAATAAGATAAACCACTGAATAAAAATGATTGGGTTAAAAAAGATTCTTATATATCTGTATCAATGTAAAATGAATAAAGTGGGGTAAGCAGTAATTCTGATATGAGTACTTACCTCCTCACACATTTACAGTTATTCTCAGTTTGACTGCCCTCTAGTGCAGAAATTTTCACTCACCACTAGCCTTGAACTCCCACCTAATTTCCCGTGTATACCACATAGTTCAGCTGTATTTAAGCATATAAATTGGCATGTGTCAACCATCCACCAATAGGAATATACCCTCCTATCACAGCTGACTCCCTCTATGCAGTTTGAACCTAATCCTCACTTCTTGATTTGGCATGACTGTGTTAACACCTGTTTACCAACCCATGACGATGGCTGCAGGGGTGGCATTTTTATCAGAGGAAATATTGGCAATAGTTTGACAAGAGAAGGCTTCTTTCATGTAGGCCAAGAGGTCTCCCAATCAACAGGAGATTATGCCATAGCCTGAAGATTTAGATCAGGATGACATTGTTTTGGACAGCCTTTCCCTTCCTCTTCCTTTGCTGTGGAGGCATGTTCTCAGCCTGTGGAAGTGCCTAGGCCTCTGTCACCCCATTAGGACTTGATTTCACAGGTGTGTTATGTTTTGTCTTTGTCACCAATGACATATGACCCCTCCCCTTCCTTATCAGCTGAAGCACCTAGTTCTGATATGTTTGTTCTTGCCTTCCACCTGATGTTGGGGCCCATGCAGTCAAGTTTGCAGAGCATTTACATGTGGGGGTTAGCTTGCCATGACCCCCACATACTACAGAAACCTTTGCACTTGCTTATCATCATGTTGCAAATCCATTTTTGGAGAGTCAACATTTAGATTCTCTTCTTCCCTTGGAACCAGACACTTCTGTGCTTTTTTCCCTGGAACAATTTGCTCAACTACATTTATCCCTTACAACACTCCTTCATTATTTGTCATCTATCCACCTGTTGTCTGAGACTTTCTGTCATTCTCTCAAGGGTTTTTCAGCAGAATCCTGCACACTTCTACTCATGACATTGTCTAGATTGTCTTCATCTGCTCTGTCTCTTCACATTTGGCTCCTGTGCTGCTGGAATCTCTTGGGTCAGAACACATTATTAACACGTGCATCTTTCCTCCTCCTTCTTTGAGAGATCTTCGGGCAGTCCCTTTTCTTCAATTTATGGTGTTTGTTGGGCTGCCAGACACTTTGGAGTCTTGTGTGGAATCCACCAGATTAAACACTTCCCTTAGTTCTTGTAGGATTTTATTCCAGTCTTTTTGTCATAACCAAGAAGACCAAGGATTGGCACCCTGTTATTGATCTCTCTTGTCTGATTCACTTTCTTGATGTGCTTTGATTCATTATGAAATCCTATCTGTCTCCCAGTTGTCCTTTGGATGACGAGATTTGACGTGTTCTGTGCTTATCTCCACATCTCTATTGCTTGGGCTTTGTGTCATTATCTATGTTTTGCCCACGAGGATCACATTTATCAATTTCAAGCTTTTCCTTTCAGGCTAGCATTGGCATCTTATGTTTTCTGTCAAGTGGCCCGGTCATTTGGCTCATATATTCTGACAGGTTAAATTTTCATAATTATATTCCTATTCCTCCTCTCTATTTGGATATCCATATTTTCATAGATGCCTCGTTGTCAGGATGGAGGCCTACTGCAATGCCCAGGAGATCTCAGGCCTTTGGTCTCAGGAGGACTTACATCTTAACATCAACTTTTGAAACTTCTTGCTGTTCATCAAGCAATGGACCATGTTCTGTCATGCCTCCGAGACATGACATTGATGATTCATTCGGACAACTCAGTGGTTGTCTCTTACATCACCAGATAAGGGGACACTCAATCCCAGTACCTATGTTCCTGTACTCTGGATCTCCTTTTTTTTAGGCTCACAGCTATCAAATTTGTTCACTGATTTGTCACATACTGGGTGCCTTCAGTCTTGTTGCAGATTGCTTGTCACATCCCGACAAGTTTCTACCCATGGAGTGGTCTCAACCTTCAGATGGCTATGTTTTCAGTTGGATGCATTTGCAACCCATTTAAATATCAAACTTCCCCATTTTTGGTCCCCAGTTCCATATCTTTTGGCCTCGGCCATAGATGCATTCAGTCAGGAGTGGAAGGAACTTTTCCTATACGCATATCCTCCCATCTATCTCCTTCTCCGTGTCATTTCTCTCATCTAATCCATTCAGTGTCAAGTCCTTCTTGTGGGTCCTTTATGGCTTGTGCTGCCATGGTTCCTGTCCCTTTCCTAGGAACAACTGCCATCACCTCTTCCTCTCTCATGATCCATTCTCCAACAACCTCACTCCTGTGTTTCATTCTTCTGTTCCCATTCTCCAGCTTAATGCTTGGCTTTTGTCAGGTCTCTTGCGAGGGTATCAGAACTATTCACACATGTTGCATACATTTTGGTTCAATCCATCTGTTCCTCTTCCATAATCATATAAATCAATGAAAATGAAAAATTTTCCATCGTTGGTCTATCCAGCATGGATTCTTCCCTTTCTCGGTTATCGGAATGTTTTACATGGTTGTTTGACAAGGGTCTGTCTGTTTCAACCATTGTGGGATATCGAACTTCCATGTCACCTACCTTCAGTTTTTCCCGTTTTTGCTATGTATTTCCCTTTCTTCTTATTTCCCTTTTGTTCCAGTCTATGTGTCTCCATCATCCTCATTGTACCGCTCTCTGGTTGGATTGGAATATAAATGTAGTTCTCCCTTCCTTTTCCCATCCTCCCTTTGAACTGCTAGAATCATGTTCCTTATACTACCTTTCCTTGAAGACGTATTACCTTCTCCTGTTGGTGGCTTGTGGATCTTGCAGGTTGAACTTGTTCACTCTCAATGTCCACTGCATTTTGTACCATAAAACCTGTGTTCTTTTGTATCCAGTCTGCTCCTTCCTCCCCAAAACATTGGCTGCCCATGAAGGTAGTCTTGTTTTCACTCCTACTTCTCTTCCATATCACACATTTACTCCCACTCTGATCCGGATTGTCTCCTGTGTCAGGTCTGTGTTTAAGTTGTTACGTGTCATGTTCAACTCCCTTCTATGGTTATCACTCTTGTTTGTTTATCCATTGAAATCTGTCCATTTCCTGTGATGTGGCTCCTATCACCTTTACCGGTTAGGTTCGTCAGGTTATTTGTATTGCATATTCCTCCCTTTCTCCTGAATCTTACCATCTATTTTGAGTCTCATCCCATCAGATTCGTCACCTCACAATGTCCTTGGCTGCTCATTTCCATCATCCTCCGGAAGAGATTATTCAGCCTGGCAGGTAAACCGCTCGACACACTTTTGTGTTGCATTACCTAGATCATCTTGCAGTTTCCTCATCAACCAGATATTGTCTTCCTCCTGTGGCCATTCTACACATAACAGTACAACTATGAGTGGGTAAATTTGTGGTTTCATTTAAATGAACAATTTCTGTCAGGGATCTCTCTTGCACATTATGAATCCTGCTCCGTGGCAAGTGGTGCCTGTCCAGGTATACTGTTTTCAAAATTCTGCACCATGTAAGCTATAAGATTTATCATGTTCCCTGTGGAGATGAAGTGTTCCACGATACCACTTGCAGATTCATCCTCATGGTGTATTGTGTTATAATTATGTTCCTACTGAACCATACTCTCCTGGACTAACACGAGTAAAGTAGTCAGAGATTGCTGCTCATCTCCAACGTTCCTTTGATTATTGGAATCAGGAATAGTCTGCTTTTCAAAATAGGGTTTCCTGGTCACCATTTGCATTTTCTTTCTCCAGTGATGCATTCATCTGGACTCTCCAATGCATTTCTTGCCCCTACTTCCAGTGGAGTATGGGAGTTCTTACCACTTACCAGCTCTTAGCTGCTGGGGTGGTGGACCAAGGAGGAATCCTCCTGAACGTGCACAATTCCACTCAGTCAAGAGTAGGGCAGTGGTGTTCTGCCTGTGTAAAAGGCATGACTCTCCTCCTGCTGCAGGTCTAATATTTTATGCCTGATGCTGCAGGTATGAACTGGATCTTTCCATCTATGTTGCAGTACATCCCTCCAGCTGGGAACCCTCCCTCCTACCACCACCTGGATATCATTTTCTGGGCAACTGGTTTTGGTTGGAGTTGGACCAGCCAACATAACTCCTCAAATGTGAATGACCTGGGAACTTCCTCTTACCATAGACTGGATGTAACATTCCGTATGTCAGTTGGTTTTTGAATTGAATTGACCCTCCATGTTGCATGTCCACCTTCCTTGTGTCGTCCAGATGTACATTCCTGGGGTTTATTGTTCCAGGTTGTGTTGGATTTGAACACATGTTGGTTTAGGTTCTCAGAATGGAGGCTCCTCTTTCCTTCTGTTTCCTACACCCTAGCCACTCTACACACATTCTTCTTCCTTTTGGATTTGAAGTGGATAACTTGTTCTGCCCTTTGTTTTTAACACAACACCAGTTGGCTCCATTGGATGAAGAGTATACCTGGTTCAGATGTGGTGCAGTCTCCTGTGGGTGTATTTCCTCTACATAGGGATGGCACACTCCAATCATGGATGCTCTTCAGACACTTTTGAAGGGTGCTTGTCTAGGAGATTTTACACTGGTTCCTCCATCTCCATCTGCTCAATGTGAGATTTTAGCTGTAACTGTGAGAGGAGGTAAGTAATCGTATCGGAAGTTAATATTTTCTTACACTGAATATTTCCAAGAGTTAATTACCTCCTCTCACCCTCCCCACTTCCAGTGTTGTTTTTTGTACCTAATCTCGAAGGGAAGATTGGGTTCAAACTGCAGAGAGGGAGGAGGATGTGTTGCACTCCTATTAGTGGGGGGGTTGTTGCATGCTTAATTGCAGCTGAACCATGTGGAATTAGGTGAGAGTTCAAGGCTTGCGGTGAACAAAACAATTTGTGCACTAGAGGGCAGTTAACTAACAATAGCTGTAATTGTGAATGGAGATAAGTATTTATTGGAAATATATTTTCAGTGTAGTAAAATATTAACTTTATGGTTTCTGAGAAAATAACTGGTGGAAGTTCTCATAATGAAGAATAAGTAATTCTAATATGAAGTTTACAAAACGTAGAAATGAGCCTTATACCTGGGAATTGTTTTATACTTTATTTTGGCAATATTTTTCTGTGTGATGACATAAGGTAATGATATTTAGATTTATTAAGTACAGTAAACTAGGAATTCAGTGATGGCAAACTATTCAGATGACACAAAAGCATTTTTATTTGTGTGTGTGTTAGTTAAGTTGTTGTTACTCAAATAACACATGAACTCCTTAGTTATTGAAAACAATTACAATTGTTAGAGATAAATTAAGCTTGACCAAAAATGTAGTTGGAAAAATGTTGCCTTTACCAATGTTGACCTAGGATACAAGTGAAAGTTATGTCTATCAGTTTGTTTTGCTGTTTTTTACAGCTATGTGAATGCTTCAACAGATAAAGATGAACAACAGTAGAAAGTAAAACATTGCATATGTAAAATGGAACTTTCTGATCAATAATATGTAATAAATCTAGTTTTCTTTCTGTATATTTTTAATAGTTAATTTCATTGTATGTAAGAACTTGTATGAACAGACAAGAAAATGAGTATGCTGTTACTAGAACAATACAGACACAACAGTTATAATGTTATGCAAATATACATTTACAGGAGTTTAGGAAAACAAAAGAACAAACTCTAAGGTAAAAACAGTGTTTCACAACAAAAGTTTAGAAAATTCATAACATAGACATTATACAAATGGTAATTCAAGTTATATAATGTTGCTCAAATACAAACTAAATATTAGCTACAAAGTGTGTACCAAATTTCATGTAATTAAATTAAGAATTTTAAATGTTAGAACAAAGCAAATGAGTGAGTCTGAGTGTCACCTTGCCAGTCTAGAAAGAGTTAAAAGTGTGTTTTAAACTGAATTAGAAATTTGCATATTTTTTATTGTAACTTTAAAAAATGTTTTATAGACTATTTATTTCTTTTTGGTTTTAAATAAATTAATATTTTACATATAATTTATAACCCTTATTTTTTTATTGTATGGAAATATGTAACTTAAAAACTTAAGAAAGCTTTAATAATTATCAAGCTTCCTTTGTTAACAGATCTGAATATGTTTTCTAACTTCTGTCATTAGATGAAATTGTGTGCCAATATGTAATTTTTTTATTTTTATAACCTATGTTCAAATGATGAATTTACAATAGTGCATAAAACAATCCACTGTCGTTTATGTGTTCTGTAAATGGGTTCTACTATTTTCTTCATCTTTCTTTAATTCTACTTTCATTATTCAGTATTGGTTAGAATGCATAATGTGTATATTTTTTGTTTTTATTTTAAAGATTATTTTGCATTGTTAACCTAGTATACAGATTTAGAATTAACCTTAGTAACTTAAGCCAAAAAAATTTTACAAACAGAAATAACATCCAGTTGATGAAAAATACATTCTAATCAACTTGAGTATGATATATTAAAGTAGCTACACTCATTACATAGTTGATTTTTATTTATGATCTGTGTAGGTAGCGTTCTTTGATTTAAAGTTAATATTAATTGACAGATATGATTCACGTACTACTGATAATTTTTCTGCTTCATTGGCATGGATGAGGTTATTACATGTATCTAACTTAATGGTACAAAATTTAATAGGAGAAATTATTGAACCAAATTGATTTTTTTTTTCTGAAAAAGTGATGATTTACATTTTTTTGTTCAGCATTTAATATTTTAGATAAAAAACCATAATATGTAAATATTATGGCTGTAACGTTTTGGTAATGTAAAAATATGAATATATATTTATTCAGATCATATTTCAAAATTTTAATTAGATGTTCTACATGAATATCATGTATCCAACTATTTAATCCTTATTTTAGGCAGTCACATGGTCAAGTTGCACTAGAGTCTATCCAATATGACACTAAGATAAGTCCAATATTTTGCATGACATTAGGTGCACTGAACATGGGCAGAGGTAGAAGCACAGAAAACTCTGCTTTTCATTTTCTGATGTGAATGATATGAAAATCTGGGAAATCCTGGTGGAGTTTAAATTTAAGCTAATTCTTGAGCACAATTTGTTCTGTTAGATTTGCCATAATGATTGCGATGTGCATTTGTCTAGAAGTATTTTAAATCCTTAATTGCTGCTATATACAAACAAGGGGCCCTGCCATCATCAGTTAATTTTAGATTTTCAGTAAAGTGCATTTTCTGTTTCATAGTAAAACAACTGTACCTAGTTTCTGTTTCATTTTAGTCTATCCAGACATATTCACAACCTGCACACATTTTCTATGAACCTCCTGTTTTGAAAACTTAATGTTTATCTGAGAGCATCACAAAAAAAAATATTGAACTGTTAAAATTTATGTTAGGTACATCTGCAATAATTCTATATTTGAATCAAAATAATCATCAAATGTTTTATACTAAATTAATATGTATAAAATTGGAAGATGTTTTAATTTTTTTCTTTTTTTCTAAACAGGATATTTTACCGAATTGTATACTGTTTTGCCAACATGCCATTGAGGAAAATTCTGAAGAAGTACTTGCTGTTTTGACAGAATTAGTTCTGCATAAAAGACCATTGTTTATAACGGCTGAAGACTTTTCAAAATGGTCAAAATTCAGTTTGGATTTTCAAAAATCCTCTGTAAAGTAAGCATTCAAAAAATTAAACTATGTCAATGATTCTATTCGAAAAAGTTTTATAATTAAATTAACAAAAAGTTAAAAGCAACAGTATTAGAAACATTCACAATCTAGTTTGATTTTTACCAGGAGTATTAAAAATTAAAGTTGTTTAAGGTTTTTGCGACACCAATATCGGTATTGCCTATCATTTTATGTCTATGTTGCATTCACAAGTTGATGCATTCCAGACCTCCCTCAGTGTGGGTATTATACATTTTTGTTTATTATGTACATTATTTTCTAAGTGTATGTATAGTTGATGCATCATTATGAAACATCTGTCTCGTTTAGTTTAACAGATTTATCTTCTATTATAATGTTCAGAAAGGTTTATTTATTTCATCTATTTGTATCAATTTGAATGTTTGGTTTTAACTGAACTAAAAAGCAAGTTTCTGTTTGTAGAAAACACGGCTTTAGTGTGATAATGACTTTATTATTAGAATAAATAGAAAAGTTGAAGCAAGTTTAATCCCTTGCATTTTGAGATAATTACATTTAAGGAAACTTCATACATTATATATGTATAATGACTTGTGTTTCTAAGATATTATTCTACCATCTACGTTTATTAACAATAATGTTTTTTTTCAATATTAGTAGCAACTGAGGACCTACATAGTTGATTCAGCTATAATTTGAATACTGTTGACAGTGATTTTTATTTATCCCTGTGTACATGAAGGTCATTTGTATGTATGTTAAAACAATAGGTTTTAAAAAGTTATTTCAGTTGAAAGGTAAATGTTTTTTAAAGCACAATTTTTACCCCTTCTGCTAAAAAGAAGGGTCAATTCATGTCACATCATATAATCTCTTTGAAATAAACTGAATTTACCATAGGTATAATCATATCTGTTCAAAAGAGATACTTTAGTATATAACAAACAAAAGTTAGAAGCATTGACTGAGATGACTAACAGTTAATAGATTATAACCTGCTAACATTATTATTTATATTTCACTAACCCAAGTTTTAATATTGTGCTGTAAGTAATATGGAGAAAATCTAGAGATCTACTAATTCTTATATATAACTAATTGAATTGAAAAGTTCGTTTTTAGTGTACAAACATTTATTTTCTTATCATTTTTTGTGGCTTATTTAATCAAGATAAAGGAATGTAAGTGTTTAGAATTCTAACAAGACTTAGTTTTAGAAGAATATTGATCAGATGGAAATATTTCTACTGTAATATTGTTGTTCTATAAAACAGTCAATTACAGTCTGGTAAAAGTTAGTACAAATAACAGTTTTACAAAATCAAAGAATATTGTATTTCTCATAAAATAGTGAATTTGTTTCATATCAATCAACAATCTGTTTTTTCTAATGCATGACCACACTTTGTAATGTATGAAACAGTTTATTTACTTTTCTGCAGTTTTATATAAAATGGTATAATTTATATTGTATTCTTAGATATCATTTTCTTATATAAAAGTATTGAAATATATTTTGATATCTTTTTGTAATATTGAAATATCACAAAAATGATGTGATATTTCACTGAAATTAGAATGTGATTTTGGAGAAAATGACTGTTTTTATTTAGGTCAATTAAACTACTTCAGTAGGAACTATTGGTATGTTCCTGATGACGAGGAAACCACTTGAAGTAAATATATATATGTAGTAGAGATGGTTGATATGGTTATTACAAATTTGTATTTAAAAATAAAACAAGTAACAATGTTTTGACCTATTTAGGTCATTATCAGGTTAAGAATGATATTTGAAAAAGTGACTGTTATTGTTCACCTGTTGTGGAGATGACACTAATGATAGGTGTAAGATTGTATAGATTTAATAAGTTATATATGGTATTTAACATTAGGAATAATAGATATAAAAATGTTTCTTGGTTTAATGTGGGTTTAAGTTCTTGTATTAGAAGAGTTATAATTTTTTGTTTGCTTACATTGTTTTCTTTGCTTAATATGTTAGTGTTTTTTATGGTTACATTGTGTTTATTTGAGATACAATGTTCGAAAACATGGGAGAGTGATTTATTGTGTTGATTGAATCTAGTATCCATTTTTGGCTTGTTTCTCTGATATAGAAATCATGGCAGTTGTTGCATGGTATTTTATAAATAACGTTATTGTGTTTACCAGAGTAATTTTTACCTGGTTTTTGAATTAATTTAGTGTTTACTGGAATTTTATGTTTGGTTACAAGTTTTTTCCTAATGTTAGTTATTTTGTTGCTGATATCTGGAATGTAAGGAATGCAGCAGTGTAATGTTTTGTTATTTCATTGACTTTGAAATAGGTTGGTTGGCTTTTCATTGTGTTTTGGTCCTGGTTTCTGTGAATAATTCTTGTGATGGGAAATTTGTTCATGTTGATGAAGTCTTGTTTTAGTTGATTGACTTCATCATTAAGGTTGTCATTTGAGGAAAGTTTTGAGGCTGTGTTGGTTACATTTTTTAGTATGTTGAGTTTTTGTTTTGTTTCATATGCCGAGTTCTTAGGAATGTACAGTCCAGTATGAGTGATTTTTCTGTGGATTTTTGTTTTAAACTCTGTATCTGTTCCTGTGATATTGAGGTTTAGGAATGTTATTTGTTTATCTTTTTCATATTCTCTGGTGAGCTTAATATTTTGGGCTATGGAGTTAATGTAATTGAAAAAGCTACCTACGTGTTCTATATACGTGAATCTGGCAAATGTTGGCTAGGATTAGTGACACTAGATTGGCTACAATTAAACCAATTAGTTCTATGTAGTTTTGGTTGTTGAATATAAAAATTAGTTTTTGAGGTAGTAAATTCTTAAAAAGTTGGTAATAGGTTGCTGGGGTGTGTATGAGTAGGTTGGGGACTTTGATGTAAAGTTCTAAACTATTTTACAGGCTTCTGTTGTGGGAACTTCAGTTAAAAGAGAGACTACATTGAAATTAGCCATTAAGGCTTTGTGGTTTTGGTGATCGAGCACATTTATAAAGTTAAAGGCATCTTGGAAAAAGGAGCCTGCAGAAGTTACATATTTGTTGGGGGGAGGGCACACAAACTTCTTATGTATCTCAGAGAGTGCCACAGCATTCTCTATGGAGGAATGCAATGAAATAAAAATAGCTGCCATTATTGTATTAATACATAACAACTCAGCTGAAGTTTCTACTCCAACAGTCACCATAAGGCTGATATGAAGAGCCATTTCTTGACTTATATCCACTTCCTACTTTGACCAGTGACCTTTCAGCTTTGGCCCATAAGACACTTCTGCAGCCAATGACTGTCAATTAATCACATGAAACACTGTGGAAAGAGTTTATGAGCTAGTTGTTGAAAGCGGGTAACAGAAAGCACCTCTACCACTACTACTTTGGCCACTACCTCTTAATACAAAGTAACACTGACCATCACATATTGTATACCATGTTCTAAGTATATACATATTGAGTTCTTAAAGCTTATACACAAATTTTGGTGAGGTAATAATGAATGTTATAATAATATGTTATAAATAAATTGTGTGAAAGTTAGGATTTTTGTATTATTATTGTACCATACACCCCTACATTTTTTTAAGTTCATAACCTGGAGAAAGGATGTGTACCTCAGCTTGTAAATAATAGATTAAATATAACATTGCCCCTACAATCCTACACCTATTCTTATGGTCATCTCTATGACACGTGACCAATAATGGTCACTTTTTCAAATATCATTGTCAACCTTATTATAACCTAAGAAGGTTGAAACTTGTTTTGTGTTTTTAAATAATAGTTTCCAATACCCATATCAGCTTTATATATATATATATATATATATATTGGTATGTTGTTCAAAGCTCAATTCTCTAGGCTAAATTTAAAGAACTGTAAAAGGATATATATATGTATATATACACACACACACACACACACATAAACACGCATTTTTTTATGTGATCTTACAGGAACATGTGCAGAGTAAGATTTGTACCAAATAACCTAAATCAGGCAAAGCAAGTTTTTATTTATCATTCCATGTTATTTTGATCATTTGACCCTTAGTGGGTCAGTGGTAAGTCTGAAGGCTTATAATGTTAAAAACCAGATTTTGATAGTTGCCATGGGCACAGCACAGTTAGCCCTTTATGTAGCATTGTGCTTATTGCCAAATAGACAAACAAACATTTTTATCTTTTTTTGTTTACTTGTTTTTGTTAAGAAGTAGTAGTTGATGATTTTTACAGAGTTCAATTTATACCAAATAAGCTCAATCTGTGCATCCCAGACAAAGCAAATTTTTATTTATCATTTCATGGTATATTCACAGTGAAGACAGAACTGCTGGACCTGAACTACCAAATGTTCCAGATGCTATTCTTAATGCAATCAAAGTTGATGAAGAAGGTTTAGATAAAAACTTACAAGTTTTATGGTCTGCTCTAGTCTGTCTTCCACACTTAAGGTACTTTTTACTTCTGTTGTTGTTGGTATATAAATTTAGAGTGAAGAGATTTTTGTGTTGAAATAACAGTGGAAAGATACTGAGGAAATGAACTGAGTATTTAGTTGTGAATTATGTAGCAAAAATATTGATTAGGTAGAAAGCTTTTAAGACTTTTGATATATAATATGTTGTTTTTTTGTTTTTTTTTTCAATGTCTGGTTATTAATCACAGCTTTTGTTTTAATATACATTCATTTAGTGATTTATATAAATACAAACAAGGGTATCATTCCTAGTGATGGGAAAGGTTTAAGTTAATTTAGCAAAAGTTCCCATTCCAGTGATGGGAAAGTTTAAGTTAATCTGTGAATTTAAATTATTTCATAGACTTTAAAAAGGTTGACTGTGTTCCACTCTTGGTTTCACTCAGAGCCACTTATACTGCCCAACATGAAAAGTAATTGTTAAACATTTCAGTCATACTAAGAGCCTCTCAACAATAACATACAGTAAATCTGCATTTTTATTCTTTAAGTTACATCACATTTTGAAATGTGAATGATAGTGTGATTAATTCCTGACAGTTTAGTGTAGAATATCCTGCTTGTGAAATAAAATTTGTCATCAACCTTATTCATGCCTGTTCTCCCATCATTTCAAAAGTGAATGTTGAGCTTTGCTCACATGTGTAGCTTTTCAAATGGGGAGACAGATGAATGCTCAGACAGACACCACAGTTTGCAATATATTTAAGATTTGTCCTATCTGGATGTTTGGCCTATCGAGTGCCTGGTGGTTAAGGTGCTCAACTCACAATCTGAAGATAGCAGGTTCGAATCCCCATCACCGAACATGATCGATTGCCCTTTCGCTGTGGGGCATTATAATGTAACGGTCAACCCCATTATTCATTGGTAAAAGAGTAGCCAAAGAGTTAGTGATGGGTGGTGTTGAGTAGTTGCCTTTCCTCTAGTCTATTACTACTAAATTAGGTACAGCTAGTGCAGATAGCCCCTGTATATCTGTGTGAAATTCAAAACAAAACAAACCAACTATCTTGGTGTTTAAAATTCATATGTATTTTAACAATGGTGCAAAATACTTAGAAATATTAACTAATGTGCTTTTTTAAGTTTAAACATTTGAAGCATATATATGTATATAGCTTGATATAGGTTCATAAATGTTAAAATTAAAACATCACTTTTTGTTTTTTATTACTTTCTTTGTATGTATTAACTTTCATAGGCATAATTTCATAAATAATCATAGCAGTTGCAATTTTTTATGGCTAAAAAATAGAACACATTACTAAAAGCCTTCAGCTTGTATTGTTGACACCTAAAGCTCAAATATATTTCAAAAATCAAAAACACATTCTCCATAATTGAACGGTTGCTTTCATGTTAATATTTAAGTATCTTTTCAGTTTTTATGTTGAAATAATAGCATAAGTCACAATTCAAAGAACCTGATAACTTGAGCACTTCTGCAAAATAAATCTTTCTCTCTAACAAAGAAGAATGTCTACCCTTCATTATTGTTTCGGTAATCTGGTTTCTTGTATGATATATAAACTTTTATAAATATGTATGTTTTTAAATAACCTTGCTTCTATGAAGAACTTAAAATACAATCTATAATACTTGTGGTACAATCTAAATATCTTTTCTAATTGCTACATTTCATTTCTCTATTAGATGTTCAATATCATATAAAAGCTAAAGTTTATTGAAGCATAGACAGTGAATTTATAATGTTTATAAAAAAATTTTCACTGCAGTAAACTTAAAAATTAAAAGTAGTAATCATTATTAACATATAGACCTGAAACAATATAGACTTGTAAACATAGAATAGTTTCAAGTACTGAATTATTGGAAAATATAAGGTATATATATTGATAAAAACCTAATTTCGTCCTAAGTTCCTAGGATTAAGTTGAAAATTGGTTGTATTTGAAGATGTTGTTAAACATCTCAGTTCTTGAGCTTTGTTAAAATATAGTATCATTATAATTGTTCCCTGTTTAGATTTTTGGACACAGAAGCACCTCAACATGTCAGAGCAGTCTTACTTCATTTATTCCACATGCTTGTTGAGCCTAAGAGTCAAGGAATCACTGTGTTGGAAAAGATAATGTTTGTATTTAGTCAGGCCATTTGTACTTATTCACTCTTGCAATCTGATGAAACTTTACATGGATTTCTTTCTGTTGAAAATATGACCAAACTGATCAGGTAGGATTATACATTTTATGTAATCTTTAAATTCCTGTATAAACTTGTGCATGAATTCTGTTGTAGTTTACAAATAACTTTTATAATTTGGCTTTATTTCAGAAATGTTTAACTGTTAAGAAAACTATCATAAGGGTTACTGTTAGTGACAAAAATGTATAGTTATTTATAAGTATTTATTATCAAATTATTGTTATGAACAGTTTCAAGTACTATTATAATCAGACACTAATAATCAAACTACAAGTGTGTATGTTTTATAAAACCAGATTTTGATGTTGTATACAGATAAGAAAGGTTGAATGTGTTTTGCATGCATTTATGATTGAATAACAGAAGTATATTTCCTTGCCATTCATGTATATGCATCCTCACATGAAGTACTGTGAACTTTGTGAAATGAATGAAGAAATTCATGATTATGTAATAAACAATATTTTTGAGTGACTTATATTAAAGACCACAGGAAGAACAAAAGAAGAAAAGTTTAATTTCTGAAAATTTGTTTTTAATATTTTGCCAACCTTGTAACAATTTAGATGTATAGGAACTTTTAATTCAGTGTTGATTATTGTGATATTAACTGTCATTCATCTTACATTATTATAATTATAAAATTAGGCTATGCAAGCTGAAACCATAGAAAATTCACAGTTATTTTTATAGCATTGTTATTATGAATATGATATACTTTGATTCTTTCAAAAAATGCTATCATGTTGGACTGGGTAGCTGAGGTTCCATGGTTTGTGTCATATTACCGCCTTACAAAAAAATTGTGTTCCATAATTTGGAGCTATGGATGCATTATAAAAGTGATGATCAAATCCCACTATTCAATCTGACAAGAGCAACCCAAGAATTAGTGGTGGGTGGTATCAACTAGCTGCCTTATCTCTTAAGTTATTATTTCAAAATTATATATGGCTAGTGCACATAGCTCTCATATAGCTTTGCACAAAATTCAACAAAAAAAAAAAAGGCAGCTTAGCTTCTGAAGAGTTTCTAAACTATTATAAGGGATATAAAAAAAAACAATCCACAAATTATGTTTTATTGAATCGAAATTTGATGAAACATGCTGTGTTTTGTGTAATCTTTTTAATTTACAGGTTAACTCTTTCAGCATGGTCTCGGTTCCTGGGACCGACCTCATAACCATTTTGTGCTTGTTATTAGTTTT